TGACCATATTGACTTCCAAAAAAGAGGACACTTGGCCCAGTCATGAAGAACTTTAATAAAACTGTTTGCTTAAAGAAAACGTTAACATATTTAAATGATGCCTTCTATGTGCTGTTAAAAAATGAAATAAAAAGTGTCATGCAGGCTTTTACAAGTCAACAAGTGCAAAAGAAGAGGACTGTTGGTCACCCTAGCTTAGGCACACACTGTGCCTGTCGGCTTCCTGGTGGAGCCGGCGTGCTCCTGTGTCGGGTTTCAGGTGCAGCAGTAACGACCACCTCAAGGACCACCCAGACCCTGCCTTTGCTTTAGGACGGGGGTGTCCAACTCCACGCCTCGAGGGCCGGTGTCCTGCAGGTTTTAGATCTCACCCTGGGTCAGCACACCTGAGTCACATGATTAGTTCATTCCTCTAGTTCAGGCCTCTGGAGAACTTTCATTTAGCCATTTAAATCAGCTGGATGAGGGACACATCTAAAACCTGCAGGACACTGGCCCTCGAGGCCTGGAGGTCTGGAGTTGGACACCCCTGATTAAGACAATCATCTTGTCAGGCTGTTTGTCCAGCAGCACCTGAACACATCACTGGAAGCACTGTCTCTGCCCCTCCCTCCCATTCATTTGAATACATTGCACTACAGCTCCCTGGATCTACCCCCACCAATATATGTACTGTTTATCGGCCACCTGAGCCAAATAAAGATTTTTTAAATGAATCACTCATTTCTCTGTACTTTCTCCTAGTCTGATAATTGTTGGTGACTTCAATATTCATATGGACAATGACAAAATCCCTCTTTCCAGAGATTTTACCTCCTGCCTGGAAAGTTTTGGGCTTCTACAGTACATAAAGTTTTCTACTCATCTAAAGGTCATATCTTGGTTTGGTCTGTTGTTGTGGTCTTAGCCCCACCCATTGTAAAGCCACATTGTTTCTCCAGTCTGATCATATGTTTATTTCTTTTAATGCAAACATAATCGCTTTCAAAACCTGTATCTCTCATAATATCACTTTTAGGAAAATTAGTAATATCAACCCAGCTGTTTTTTCATCTGCCGTCCATGACCTTCCATCTATCACAGCTCCTCAACCCCTCAAGAACTTGTTTCTCATTATAATGTCGACCTTCATAACCTTCTTAACATATTTGCTCCCCTTAAACATCGAACTGTCTCATTTTCCCGTTCAGCTCCATGGTTTACCCCCGACCTGCGTCACCTTAAAGCTAAAGGACGCCAACTCGAACGTCTATTCAAGAAAACTGGACTTACTATTGTTACGGCTGTGGCCATAAGAACACTGTGTGGGCTGTTTTGTTCTGGATCTAAAACCTGTGACCCGCCGACGGTCGACTCTGAGGCGATGCGGTCTATTAGCCCATCAGTGACATCTCCACTGCCTTTGGGAGTTAACAAAGAGTTTGGCACAACACAGTGGGTTGTTTTTGTGGGTTGTTTTTCAGCTGCCAACTCTAGCGACCAGTATCCTCGTGTTTATAGTGTGGAGGATGATGTGTTGATGCGTACCTGGTATCCGCCTACAGCTGGTGATCTGGGCTGGAATGTGTTTCAGCAGGTTCTGGTGCCTCAACAGTACCGACACAAAGTTCTTAGTCTTGCCCATGACAGCTTTTCTGGACATTTAGGTATTAGAAAAACCTACCAGCGCATTCTGCGTCATTTCTTTTGGCCAGGATTAAAGAATGTTGCTAAGTATTGTCGTTCTTGTCACACCTGTCAGATTAGCGGTAAGCCTAACCAAGTCCTTCCACCCGCTCCATTACACCCTATTCCAGTTTTAGGGGCACCTTTTGAACACATACTCATCGACTGTGTTGGTCCACTTCCTAAAACAAAATCGGGCCACCAGTACCTCTTGACTTTGATGTTCGTTGCTACACGTTTTCCCGAGGCGATTCCATTGCGCACCCTTAAGGTTAAACCAGTTGTTAAGGCGTTGGTGAACTTCTTTTCTATTTTCGGGTTACCAAGGGCTGTCCAAACTGACCAAGGCTCTAATTTCATGTCTAAGATTTTTGCTCAAGTTTTGCGATCACTTGGCATTAAACATCAGAAATCTAGTGCCTATCATCCTGAGTCGCAAGGTGCACTTGAGCGGTTTCATCAGACATTGAAATCTACGATGCGGAAATTTTGCCTTGAGTCTGGAAAGGAGTGGGATGAGGGGTTATTTCAAAAATTCTTGAAAAAGTTGTCGCCTCCCAGCTTCATTTACATCTCAAT